AGAGGTAGAGGTTGTATAGATCAGATTTTTATAGTTAGGCAGTTATGTGAAAAATATTTAGCAAAGGGTAAGGATGTGCATTTTACATTTTTGGATCTGGAGAAAGCATATGATAGAGTTGATAGAGATGCTATGTGGAATGTTTTGAGATTATATGGAATCAATGGTAAATTGTTGCATGCAGTGAAGAGTTTGTATGAGGGTAGTAGAGCTTGTGTTAGGGTAGGGAATGAAGTGAGTGAGTGATTTCCAGTGAGTGTGGGACTGAGACAGAGATGTGTGATGTCACCATGGCTGTTCAATTTGTATATTGATGGAGTTGTAAGAGAGGTGAATGAGCGAGTGCGTGGTCGAGGTTTGAGAATGGTAGATGAGGATGATAACGAGTGGGAGCTGAATCAGTTGCTGTTTGCAGATGATACTGTGGTGGTGGCAGATTCACAGGTAAAGCTGTGTCCGTTAGTGTCAGAATTTTGAATGGTGTGTGAGAGAAGGAAGCTGCGAGTGAATGTGGGAAAGAGTAAGGTTATGAGGTGTACAAGAAATGAGGATGGCGCTGGATTGAATGTTATGTTGAATGGAGAGACACTTTAGGAGGTTAATCAGTATAAGTATTTAGGCTCGGTTATAGCTGCAAATGGTGGAGTGGAAGCAGATGTGTGTCACAGAGTGAATGAAGGATGTAAAGTGTTGGGTGCATTGAAAGGAGTGATGAAAAATAGAGGGTTGGATATGAATGTTAAGAAAGTTTTGTATGAGAAAGTGGTTGTGCCAACTGTGAGAGACGGAAATTAAATGTGTTTGAGATGAAATGCCTGAGGAGTATGATTGGTGTATCTCGATTGGATAGGGTTAGGAATGAAGTGGTGAGAGCAAGAACGGGTGTGAAGAGAGAAATTGCAGCCAGAGTAGATATGAATGTTCTGAGATGGTTTGGCCATGTGGAAAGGATGGATGATGAAAGGCTGCTGAAAAAGGTGATGAATGCGAGAGTTGATGGGAGAAATGCTAGAGGGAGGCCTAGGTTTGGATGGATGGATGGAGTAAGGAGAGCCCTGAATGATAGGAGGATGGATGTGAGGGAAGCAAGCGAGCGTGCTAGGAATAGGAATGAGTGGCGAGCGATTGTGACGCGGCTCTGATGGGCATCTGCTGTTACCACGGGGCTGCATCTTACAGAGATAGCCCTGTGGTAGCGGCAGTAGGAGGAGCTGGCAGTTGTGAAGCGACACAGGTTGTGGAAGAGCCGGGAGGATGGGCTGTGGCACTCCAGCAGTGCCATCTGAACGGTCGCTAGCTCCCTCGCCATTGCCCATAGAGCAAAGTAATCCCCCTATTTGTTTTCCTTTCTTGATGTCGGCTACCCCCCAATTAAAGGGGGAAACAGCCAAGGTTTATGTATGTATGTATATATATATATATATATATATATATATATATATATATATATATATATATATATATATATATATATATATATATATATATATATATATATATATATATATATATATATATATATATATATATATATATATATATATATATATATATATATATATATATATATATATATATATATATATATATATATATATATATATATATATATATATATATATATATATATATATATATATATATATATATATATATATATATATATATATATATATATATATATATATATATATATATATATATATATATATATATATATATATATATATATATATATATATATATATATATATATATATATATATATATATATATATATATATATATATATATATATATATATATATATATATATATATATATATATATATATATATATATATATATATATATATATATATATATATATATATATATATATATATATATATATATATATATATATATATATATATATATATATATATATATATATATATATATATATATATATATATATATATATATATATATATATATATATATATATATATATATATATATATATATATATATATATATATATATATATATATATATATATATATATATATATATATATATATATATATATATATATATATATATATATATATATATATATATATATATATATATATATATATATATATATATATATATATATATATATATATATATATATATATATATATATATATATATATATATATATATATATATATATATATATATATATATATATATATATATATATATATATATATATATATATATATATATATATATATATATATATATATATATATATATATATATATATATATATATATATATATATATATATATATATATATATATATATATATATATATATATATATATATATATATATATATATATATATATATATATATATATATATATATATATATATATATATATATATATATATATATATATATATATATATATATATATATATATATATATATATATATATATATATATATATATATATATATATATATATATATATATATATATATATATATATATATATATATATATATATATATATATATATATATATATATATATATATATATATATATATATATATATATATATATATATATATATATATATATATATATATATATATATATATATATATATATATATATATATATATATATATATATATATATATATATATATATATATATATATATATATATATATATATATATATATATATATATATATATATATATATATATATATATATATATATATATATATATATATATATATATATATATATATATATATATATATATATATATATATATATATATATATATATATATATATATATATATATATATATATATATATATATATATATATATATATATATATATATATATATATATATATATATATATATATATATATATATATATATATATATATATATATATATATATATATATATATATATATATATATATATATATATATATATATATATATATATATATATATATATATATATATATATATATATATATATATATATATATATATATATATATATATATATATATATATATATATATATATATATATATATATATATATATATATATATATATATATATATATATATATATATATATATATATATATATATATATATATATATATATATATATATATATATATATATATATATATATATATATATATATATATATATATATATATATATATATATATATATATATATATATATATATATATATATATATATATATATATATATATATATATATATATATATATATATATATATATATATATATATATATATATATATATATATATATATATATATATATATATATATATATATATATATATATATATATATATATATATATATATATATATATATATATATATATATATATATATATATATATATATATATATATATATATATATATATATATATATATATATATATATATATATATATATATATATATATATATATATATATATATATATATATATATATATATATATATATATATATATATATATATATATATATATATATATATATATATATATATATATATATATATATATATATATATATATATATATATATATATATATATATATATATATATATATATATATATATATATATATATATATATATATATATATATATATATATATATATATATATATATATATATATATATATATATATATATATATATATATATATATATATATATATATATATATATATATATATATATATATATATATATATATATATATATATATATATATATATATATATATATATATATATATATATATATATATATATATATATATATATATATATATATATATATATATATATATATATATATATATATATATATATATATATATATATATATATATATATATATATATATATATATATATATATATATATATATATATATATATATATATATATATATATATATATATATATATATATATATATATATATATATATATATATATATATATATATATATATATATATATATATATATATATAAAGTATATCACCTGATAATCGAGCATTGTATGAGTAGATCACCATACTGAGCATAAAATATATCACCTCAAGACTGAAACTAGGCAAGAAGGAGTGATATTCCTGAAAATTTACTGGGAATAGAGTGGCATTCAGACAGAATGCATTCATTCCTAGAATACCATATAAAGTGTTAGGTTTGGCTCCCTTTCAATCTTCTGTGGTGTAGTTGGTAGTGCCTTGTCCCAGTAATTATGTGTCCTAGGTTCAAGTCCAAGTTATGGTAAATATGATTCATGTTTTCACATATAGCCATGTGCAAATTTGATTACTGTTGATCCCTTCTTAGATTAGGAATTAAGTAAATACGAATTTGAATCCACGAGTGATGTATCCTAGGTTCAATCCCAGTCGGGGTAAAATAAGAATCATGTTTTCACATATGGTAATGTACTTATTTGATTATTGTTGATCCTCTATAAGATTGAGAATTGAATTGAATGCAAAAACGAATCCATGAGTGAGGTTGGGGTAAGTTGTAATATAAACAAAGTGGCATGCAGATAGAATGCGTTCATTCTTAGAATAGCAGATAATGCTGAAAGTTTTGAATTCCTCTTTAGCCTTCTGTGGTGTAGTTGATAGCGCCTTGGCACAGAAAGTATGTGTCCAAGGTTTGAGTCTCATTTGGGGCTAAATATGATTCCAGTTTTCACATATGTTAATGTGTTCATTTGATTATTGTTGATCCCTTATTAGATTGAGATTTGAATTCAGTGCGAAAACAAAGCCCCGAGTGACATTGGGGTAAACTGTAATATGAATAGAGTGTAATTCAGAGAGAGTGGATTCATTCCTAGTATAGCAAATAAAGCTTTAAAGTTTGTTTCTCTTTCAAACCTTTGTGGCGTAGTTGGTAACGTCTTGTTACGGTAATTATGTGTCCTAGGTTCGAGTCCCAGTTGGGGTCAAATGTGATTCATATTTTCACATATGGCTATGTGATTATTTGATGTTTGTTGATTCCTTATTAGATTCGGATTTGAATTAAATGCAGAAGCAATACCACAAGTGAGACTGGGGAACACCGTAATATGAAAAGTGTGTCATTAAGATAGAATGTGTTCATTCTTTGTATAGCAGATAAAACTGTAAGGTTTTTTCCCTTTTAATCTTCTTTGGTGCAGTTGGTAGCGCCCTGGCACAGTAATTATTTTCGTCCTAGGTTTGAGCCCCAGTCGGGGTAAATATGATTCATGTTATCATACATGGTTATGTGTTTATTTAGTAAATGTCGATCCCTTATTTTACTGGGATTTTAATTAATTGCAAAAGCCAACCCAAAGTTAAGTTGGGGGAAACTGTAATATGAGCAAAGCGGCATTCAAATATAATGCTTTAATTCCTAGTATAGCAGACAAAGCTGTAAGGGTTGTTTCCCTTTTGATATTTTGTGGTGTAGTTAGAAGCACCTTTGCACAGCAGTTATGTGTCCCAGGTTCCAGTCCCATTCAGAGTAAAGTGTGATTCATGTTTTCAAATATAGTAAAGTGCTAATTTGATTATTGTTGATCCCTTATTAGATTGAGATTTGAATTAAATGCCAATACGAAGCCACAAATGAGGTTGGGGGTAACTGTAATATGAACAGAGAGGCATTCAAATAGAATGCTTTCATTCTAGTATAGCAGATAAAGCTGTAAAGTATGTTTCCCTTTTAGCAATATTATTATTATTATTATTATTATTATTGTTATTATTATCATTCTTATTATTATTATTATTATTATTATTATTATTATTATTATTATTATTATTATTATTATTATTATTATTATTATTATTATTATTATTATTATTATTATTATTATTATTATTATTATTATTATTATTATTATTATTACTATTATTATTATTATCATTATTATTATTATTATTATTATTATTATTATTATTATTATTATTATTATTATTATTATTATTATTATTATTATTATTATTATTATTATTATTCTTATTATTAATATTATTATTATTATTATTATTATTATTATTATTATTATTATTATTATTATTATTATTATTATTATTATTATTATTATTATTATTATTATTATTATTATTATTATTATTATTATTATTATTATTATTCGTACAGCTTCGTACATTATCAAATGATTATCTAGTTGGTAGTGGATGGAGGTTATATATTATATCCAATATCCTCCTTTAGTTTATATTCACCATAAAGATTCAGTATCTGTGAAGTTTCCAGAGTTGCTGGAGAATGGACCCTAAGCATCCTTATCTCTGGCCTGTGCTCTCTACTTTCAGAGTTGGCAGAATAAGGCAATTTGGCGTCTTCACATTCGTAGAAAGATCTAACTTATGTATGTAGAAAGATTCTAGAATTAGCAGACTTCGAAAATATTTTTCTGTATGTAGTATCTTTGCATTTTCTCCAACATTTTACGTGTGATGGAGGTCTGATGTTTTTTCATCATATGATTTTTGGGGGCGCATTCTTGTAAGTGGAATGTTAGTCACTTTGTCAATTTAGTTGTTGCCATACCAATATAAGACGATTGAAGACTGCAGTCTTCATAGGGGCATGTATATTGGCAGACTACATGATCTCCATCCACTTCCAACTAGATAACCATTTGATAATGTACGAAGCTGTACGAAACGTTCTGAATTCTATTAAACTTTCTGACTTATTACATGGTCTCAACAATATATATATATATATATATATATATATATATATATATATATATATATATATATATATATATATATATATATATATATATATATATATATATATATATATATATATACTACTGAAGGTATTTCGGGTTCATTTTTTACTTTTCCAGACAGCTCAGGGTTGAATCTTCCTTCAGTGTGGTTCATTTCTTATGCATTTGTCAACACAGATTATATTGGTGTTTTCGTAACACATATCTTGTTATTCCATTACATTTCACAATTCACAATACTCCTAATATCAATCTCTTTTGCCCTCTTATTTCCTCATATTTGCTATATTTATGTAAAGTTTACAGCTTGTGGCTTCCAGTACCCGGTATAGAGGAGTGCTAAGAATCTCTTGGGATATTATTGACTCCACTAATGGCTTGAGGGTAGACACACCATGTGGTGGTAATGGGTCTTCCCTTAACCTTGCACCTCCTGATAAATCTACTTTTTTCACTTTTCACTTTTCCAACATACGTGGCCTGATCTCTAATCTCTCATATGTGGTACAGCACTTGGGTACTTCCCTACCAAATCTCCACCTTCTCTCAGAAACGCAACTGTCAAGCCAATCTTCCTCTGATCCATTTCAAATCTCAGACTATTACCAGTATTCTCGATTTCGTTCAAAAGGTGGGGTCTGTGCGCATTGCAACACTAACACTCCTATTGCAAGGCTCATGGGCCTTGAATCTTCTGACTTTAATGTTCTCTAACTAAATATCTAACTCTCCACTACAACTATTTTCCTTTGCTTCTACTACTGTTCTCCAAACTCCCCTGCCTTTGTGTCTTTCTTTGAATATCTGTGAGTCACTTAATTCTTCGCACACTGACGTGGGAATAAGTGAGGGCGTTGCTTTTTCTATTACTCACCATCTGGAGCAAATTATCCAAAATATTTATCGTGTTCCTATTTGACACAAACTTGCAACCAACACTCTTGACCTATTTCTTATTTCAAACCCTTTGAATTACTCTTCTTCTGTGATTTCCCCTCGTGGTAAATCTGACCTCTCTGTGATTTTAATCACTTCCAATTTTCTCCCCCTCCACCAATCCCTCCTACTTAGCAGCGCCTTTGGCAATTCGAGCGTACGCAACGTGAAGATTTGAGTAGCTTCCTCTTTGACTTCCCATGGGATGACTATGCTTCCGGTCCAGCAACCTTGATCAGGTAGCCCTAAAACTTGTCGAAATCAAAACCTTGGAATTGGATGTGTATATCCCCTCTTCTATGAAAACTTTTTCTATTTCTAATCCTTGGTTTGACCATGTCTGCTTCATAGCTATTTAGGCCAGGGACCGGGCACATTTGTCATACCAAGCCTCTCCTTCTGATTTAGTTCACTCTGCTTTCATTGTAGCTAGGAATTGCTTTACTACTCATTTTCGATGGTCTGAGGCTTCCTTTATAAATATTTACAAATGTTTTGTCAATAGCCAAAAATCTCTCCAAAAGCCTTTGTAACTCAATCTTTTCCCCTATTATTTGTTCTGACGGTTCTATAGTTTGCTCTCATACTGACAAAGCCACACTCTCATTCTCTGCTATCTCTTCTCTGAACAATTACAATGCATCTGTTCTTCATTTTTACCACTATCTGATCTTATCCCCACCCTCATCCTTTCATCACGAAAAGTTCATAAGGTTCTTTGCTCGCTAAAGACAAACAAGGCATCTGATCCCGACTGGGACGTGAACCTGCTACACATAATTTTTAGGCAAAGGATCTACCAATTACACCACAGTAAGTTGAAATCGAAACAAACATTACAGTTTTATCTGCTATACTATGAATGAACACATTCTATCTGAATGCCTCTTTGCTCATATTACAGTTCCCCCTACCTAACTTGTGGTTTAGTTTTCGCATTTAATTCAAATCTCATCCTAATAAGGGATCAACAATAATCAAATAAACACATTACCATACGTGAAAACTTTAATCATATTTAACCCCAACAAAGACTCAAATCTAGGTCACATAATTACTGTGCCAAGTCACTGCCAACTACACCACAGAAGGCTAAAAGGGAAACAAACCTTACAGTTTTATCTGCTATACAAGGAATGAACATATTCCATCTGAATGTCACTCTGTCTATTAAAGTTTCCCCCATCCTCACTCGTGGCTTTGTTTTCGCAGTTAATTCATATCCCAGTGTAGTAAGGGATCAACAATAATCTAATAAGGGATCAAAAATAATCAAATAAGCACATTACCACATGTGAAAACATGAATCAAATTTTACCCCGACTGGGACTCGAACTTGGAAAACATAATTATTTTGCCAAGACACTGCCAACTTCACTACAGAAGGCTAAAAGGGGAACAAATCTTACAGCTTTATCTGCTATACTAGGAATTAACGAATTGTATCTGAATGCCTATCTGTTCATAATACAGTTTCCCACAACTTCACTTGTGGATTCGTTTTGCAGTTAATTCAAATCCCAATCTAGGAAGGCATCAACAATAATATAATAAGGGATCATCAATAATCAAATAAGAACATAACCATGTGTAAAAACATGAGTCATATTTTACACTGACTGGGACTCGAACATAGGACACATAATTAGTGAGCCAAGGTGCTACCAACTACACCACAGAATGGCAAGAGGGAAACATACCTTACCGCTTTATGTGCTATACTAGGAATGAACGTATTCTATCTGAATGCCACTCTGTTCATATTGTTGTTTCCCCCAATCTCATTTGTGGCTTCGTTTTGGCATTTAATTCAAATCTCAATCTAATAAGGGATCAACAATAATCAAATTAGCCCATTTCCTTATTTGAAAACTTGAATCATATTTTACCCCCATTGGGACTCGAACCTAGGACACATAATTTCTTTGCCAAGGCACTACCATCTACACCACAGAAGGTAAAAAGGAAAACAAACCTTACTGCTTTATCTTTTATACTAGGAATGAACACATTCTATTTGAATGGAATTCTGTTCATATTAAAGTTTCTCCTAACCTCACTTGTGGCTTCGGTTCTGTATTCAATTCAAATCTTAATTATTATGGGATCAAGAATAATCAAATAGGTATATAACCATATGTGAAAACTTGAGTCATATATTACCCCATGTGTGAATGAATCCTAGGACACAAATTACTGTGCTTAGGCAATACAAACTACACCACAGGAGAATAAATGGTTAACATTTTTTACAACGTTATCTACTATA